TCTGGGACCTACTCCATTCCAAGTACATCCCTGAAGAGAAGAGGAAAGAGATCCTGCACCTGTACAGGACTGGCATTCTCACCATTGACCAGGTGGAAACCGTGGTCACCGGCATCATAAGCAGAACAGAGGAGGAGAATAGTGGCCAATCTGGATTGGTCTCAAATCAACCTAAAGAGACAAAAACATTAACAAAAAGTCAAAAAGTTTCTTTTGGTCACTCCCTCTCTTTGGAAAACACGTTACGATCTGAGAGCACTGCGGTGCCAGCTGGTGATTTCCAAGGGCAGATGGTGTCTTGTTGGGATCTTCTGTTCTCTCGGTACATCTCAGACGTCAAGAGACAGGAGCTTCTAAGCCAATTCAGAGGGGGTGCTCTCTCTGTTCAGGAACTGATCAGCACGCTCACCAATATCATCACAGACGCAGAAAGGCACAATCTGTCATCCAGGCTGGGCAGCCGTCCATTGGGTGTATCAGAGGGAAGGGACGATTCCTACGCCCAGCAGCAGCAGCAGCAACTGAAAAAATCTTTGCGGACCACTATGGTCCATGTGACCAGTGGACAATTTAAAGGGCAAAAGGTGTGTGTGCTGGATCTTCTGTTTTCCAAATACGTCGCTCAGGATAAAAGGCAAGAACTGCTCGAGCTGTACAGGGCAGGGACATTACCCATTCAAGATATGGTTATGATGGTTACCACCATGATTGAAGAGGCCGAATGCAAACCTGGGAAGGTGGATATAAAGAGAAAAATGGGCAGTAACAAAGGGACATTGCCTTGGACAGAGAAGGGTGCTGACTCGTAAGTCATGGGACATTGGCACCTGGATGCTCAGTCCTCAGTGGTTACTTCCACTCCCATGAGCATTAGAGCCTCCTGCAACCCTGTACAGATTGTGGACTCGTTTTCCTCGCAGGAGGGAAGTGATTATTCCCTGCTAGTCTCTTCTGAGAGCACCGGCAACCCTCTCATGTTCTCTCCATCCTCTGATAATCACCTGGGACTCTGGCTTCTTTCAAGCATTTAGCCTGGACACCAGATCATCCGTCCCCGAAGATGTTTGCTCAGCCATCCCTCTCCCTCGCTGGGCAGGTCTCTGTGCTTCCCCTTCCACTCCAAGGGTGTGATGGATCACAAGGCTCATAAAAGTAACTGCTGCGGGTCTCAGCCGGGCAATGTTGGCTTGCTCTGAAAACAACATGAAGGAAGCAATCCGTTTTGTGATCTTAGCGCCCACCCCCACCTAATCTGGGGGCATGCTCTCCCTTCCAGCTGAAGACCTGACCGCTGTGCGAGGCACACAAGACCGTGTCTCTTGCAGGGCTACGTGATTCCCACCCACCCCCGTCCGTTTACTGGCCGGCCTTCTCCTTTCCTAGCAGATGCCCTTGAACTGGCGCTTGTGGGGTCTTGGCAGGACCGGAAACACAAAGGAAACCTTGGCTTTCTCCCTCCTTGCACTTTGGTCCTTACGCCTCTTATTACAGGCCGGACCTCTGCGCTGCAGCGAATGGACTGATGTTCAGCCCGGGAGGGCCCCTCTAATGCCTTCCGTTCCATGCGGAAGGTGAGCGAGGTCACCTGGCTGGTAACAGCGCCACCCTGGCCTGGAGCGGCATTTGACTGCATCCCTACTGGTAGAGGCTGCTTTGGTCAACTCTGCTAATAATAGCAATAATAAACCTTGACGTGTTTACAGGATTCTCCCTGGAATTGGGGTTGATGTCTGACTGATCTGTTCAGCTCCAGACCTCCTCTCTGTGTGTATTCGGTGTTGTCCAGTCGCTTCCCACGTATGTCCCCCCACAAGCGGAGGGCCCCGGTGGCTTCCTTGAATGAAAACAAGCCAGAGGCGTTCCATTCCCACAGGTGGAATAATAGCCACAGAAGCCGCCTTCTTAGAGGCACTGACAGGGCCGAGGGGCTTTCTTCCCCTGCTCCCAACATTTGCCCCTGACAATAGCTAGGAATTCTGGGAAACCAGCTCTACCCTCTGTACATGGCCGACAGGGAAGAGCTGCTGGCTCCACCTAGGGATGCCAGCCTCCAGGTGGGACCTGGGGATCCCCCAGAAATACAGCTCATCTCCAGATGAGATCCGTTCCCCTGGAGAAAATGGCAACTTTGAAAGGTGGACTCTCCATGGCATGGCACCCCTCTGAGGTCCCCGTCCTCCCCAGGCTCCACCCCCCAAATCTCCAGGAGTTTCCCAACCTGGATCTGGCAACCCTGCCCCCCCACCCCCCACTAGCAGCCAGGGAGGACCTCAGAACCCTGGCTCCACCCCCCACATCTGTTGTCATCAGCATAGAAAGGGGGGGGCCTGCATCATCGCTGCTTAGAGGTTCCCGGGAGTCATACCGGTCTACAAACACACACACCCCACACACCAAAAAACACACACACACCAGAAAACCAAAAAGCCATGTAAGGCCTGTTATTGAAACCAACCAAAATTACACAGGACAGCCAGCCCTTGGACTGGAGAAAGGGGGAGGAAAGACCAGAGCGGCTGTGTCAGAGGTCATCACGGCATCTGCCCGGACCAAAGCCATGTGGGTTGGGAGCTGTACTAAGGAGAGGAACTGGGCGAGACTGCGTGGGAAAGCTGGCTGGATCCAACCCAGGGTGCAAGCTTTCAGGTTCCCCAGAACTCTTCATCAAGTGGGTGTTGAAAGCAGCTGCAAAAGGGTGTGTGTGGGGGAATACGCAGATGCTCTTGAGGCCCTCTGGCTGCTCCTGTTCAGAATGTCCTACACACTTCAATGATATAGAGTTGGTACCAGGTTGTGCTTTGGGCCTCTTGAAAAGAAGTGAGACTGTGGCCGGACGTGCCTGCTCTGGCCTGCAGGCCCCGTTTCTCCCCTGCCCTAGGTGGCCCCCACCTCCCTGGAGGGGCTTTCCCTTTACTCTCAAGCAGCCGCTGCCACCACCCGATCAATATAGGGATTTCCTACTGAGGGGATCAGGACCCTCAGCTCCCCTTCCAAGTTCAGAGGCCTTGCCTCAGTCTCTCCCGCTAGCCCAGCCCCTGGCTACCACGGGGACAGTCTACTGCTTTGTGCGCCCCTGGGGGAATAGCCGCTTGCCAACCCCCTCCCTGGAGCTCCTTTTAGAATAGCGTGTCCAAAACGGTTGGAGGTCTACGTGGTACAGAGAACCGCTCCTCACATCAACAGTTTAAAACATTTATTAAAAAGAAAATGTTTACAAGCATACTTTCAGCACAGCACCAGGTTTAAGCAAGGGAAACAAAAGAAATTGGTAAGAGACGCAAATCCTCTGTACCTTCCTCTACACATACCCTATCTGATGGTAAAATCTATGACAGACTCTTTAGCTTACCTGTTCTAGTTTTCTAGAGAGTTGCCATTACCTTCAGGCTTGCTCCGGGGCTTCTGGCCAGCCGCAAGGGCAACATGGCTGCCTCAGGAGTTAAGAGTCCTGCGTCCTGTCAGGAGAGCAGCATCCCAGAGGAAAGAGAGCAACTTCCTCTTGCAGGGAAGCTTCCTTCACTCTGTGTCTCCGCCCACTTGCCCATGTCACGCCAGGTCAAATAAGCACTTCCTTCAGCTCATTCCTGGGGACTGTCTCTGGGGTTGTTCCAGCCAAATGCCCTCCAAACTCTATTTCTTTCTTGGGGAAGGGGGGAGAAGGGGGAAGAACTGTCCCATTGTCTTTCCTGCTAGATTCATTAGCAGTTCTAAAAAGATAGCTAAGGTGAGCAGTGAGAGCCAGAGAACCGGGTTTGATTCCCCACTCCTCCTCCACTTGCACCTGGCTGGATGACCTTGGGCAAGCTGTAGTTCTGACAAGAGCTGTTCTTGAAAAAAAGAGCAGTTTCTGTCAAGAGCTCTCTCAGCCCCACCCGCCTCCCAGGATGCCAGGGAACCCGCCAAGTGGAGGCTTGCTGGTTGCCAGCCTCCCTCTGGGAGAAAATGCATTTCTCCACAGAGACAACACTGCCATCCACTGTACATATAAAAAACAGCAGTTAATGAAATAACTTTTCAACACCAGGCAGATGACACAGGTGGCTTAAAAAGATGAGGACAGATTGGGGTGGGGGTGGGGGGAACAGAACAATGCTGAGCACTTCACCTCAGGCACCCGGCAAATCAATGGAAGCCAAACCGGACAATACGTATAATCTGCTAGGGCCCTTCATAGATCGTTTTCCTCCTCCTGAAGAATCCCTCTAGGTACCTGTTCACTTCGGGGACGGCCACAGTAGGGAGAGGATCCACGCTGCTGGGCTGGCCCAGGGGAAAGGGCCACATAGGGGACCGTCAAGGGCAGGGAGCTCGGACGACCTCAGGGGCCGCCTGTGCGGGTGGCCCATCTCTGAGCTTGGGGTCTGGCCCTCGCAGGGCTCGTCGTGTGCCAAGGCTGGGCAAGAGAGGAGACAAAGAATGGCTCCCCTGCGGGCTGCTGCAAGACCCCAAGAGCCCCGGCAATATTGAGACACAGCCCAGGGCTGAATTCCTGCAGCCGGAGGCAGAGGAAGATCAGAGATCTGAGGGCTGAATGGGGCCTGCGACTGGAACTCCTGATGCGATATGGGTTGTGCCTGCAGTTCTGGGGGTGCCCCCCCCAACACACACACACACGGAGTATGTTCTTGACTGAAAATGGCCCAGTGCCTGTTCCCATTCTAAATCACCCCCCTGGTATACTATGAAATGTAGGGGGATGAAGTGGGGACTCAGATGACTTGATTGAGTTTGGTGGTGTACTTGTGACAAAGCTGCAAGAACAACTTGTAGGACGTTTATGAAATTCTATGAGGTGGCGGCAAAGGCTGCAAAAAAGGAATTTTATTCAGCCTCCATCGCATCTCCTAGCTCTTGCCCAGCACAATAATGGCCCCGGTCATACAGGCCGGAAAATGGGGGGGGGGGGGGAGTGTGGCTGTTTTCCCCGGAGGAAAATAACGTGCGGTTGCGCAATCAGACATCCCTTCGAGGTCCCATGGAGGTCTTGTGTTTAGGGGGCAGGTGCCGATCACACGATGATCCTGCAGCGTGGCAAAGAAGCGGTGCGGCACAATCAGCAATCGCTAGGCGCCGCTTCCGTGGCAAACGGGATGGATTTTTTTTAAAAAACTGAAGTTTGTGCATACACATGACTGAGCAATCGTATCTGCACATCTGAAGGCAGGTGGTGGGCTTACCGGAGAGGGCGACAGATGTTTCCGGACCCCAACAGAGCTCCGAGGCATAGCCAATGGAGGGGGAGGGGGCCCCCTCGTCACAGCCGCTCTAACCGCCCGCGTGACAGTGGCCATAGCGACCCTCCAGAGGCGGCAAGCCTGGCTGCAGTGGGAGGGGGCCTCTTTGTGCGCATGCGCCGTTGGGCGCTTGTGCGCATCCTGTGGAGACTTGAAAAAAAAACCTGTTCGCGACGGGACATGGGCGGGCGCCGGATGCCACATGATTCCACCAGAAAAGCGATCAGGCGCCCGCCCTTGCCCCGCGGTTTCCGGAAACTAGTACCTCGGAGGTACTAGTTTTTTACGGCGTATCTTCGGCGGGAAGCCTCGGGTTCGGCACGGGAGCTCTATGGTTCCCAGATGTGGTGGTGTGATCGCGCCCGGAAAATCCGCCTATCTTCCATCTCTGTAGCGTGGCTAATGTTCCGTGTGACCTCAGCCTGTGTAGGGTAATTAGATCGTTAACAACTGAACTGTAGTAAGGCCCTTTTGCCAACACCAACAGCCATACCCCCTTGTCACCATCTTAACATGGCCTATTGGGATCACCATGTAATGTTATACCGCCTCCAGCACTTTATTTGTTATG